GGGGACCCTGCCTGTCCCTTCACAGGGACCCTGCCCTGTGTCCCCTCCTGGGGACTGTGTCCTGTCCCCTCCTGGGGACCCTGCCTGTCCCTTCACAGGGACCCTGCCCAGTTCTCCCTCCTGGGGACCCTGCCCTATTCCCTCTCACAGAGACCCTGCCTGTCCCCTCCTGGGGACCTTGCCTGTCCCCTCACTGGGACCTTGCGCTGTGTCCCCTCCTGGGGACCGTGTCCTGTCCCCTCTTTTGGGGACTCTGCCCATCCCCTCACAGGGACCCTGCCCTGTCCCCTCTCACAGGGACCCTGTCCTGTCCCCTCTCCTGGCACACCTGCCTGTCCCCTCACAGGGATCCTGTCCTATCCCCTCACAGGGACCCTGTCCTGTCCCCTCTCCTGGCACACCTGCCTGTCCCCTCACAGGGACCCTGCCCTGTCCCCTCTCCTGGCACACCTGCCTGTCCCCTCTTTTGGGGACCTTGCCCTGTCCCCTCTGCCGGGGCTCTATCCTGTCCCTTCCATGCACACCCCCCCTCACCTCTATCCTCTCCCCACATGACCCGCTCAGCCCCATCACCCACCACCTCCTCCCAAGCCCTCTGCAGCCCGGTTACATCCGCGACCCCACGGCTCCGAGCCCTGCGGCACCAGGACTCCTGGTCCCACCACACCGGCAGCTCCAGGCAAAGGGGACGGCGACGTCCCCCTTGGACGCGGTTCCTCCGGAGCGACTCGCGCGTTTGTGGTCGGCTCCCTGCAGCGCGTGGGGCTGCGTCGTGCCTGGAGAAGGGCTGAGCTGAGCTCGTACCTCTCCTTCTCCCCCAGGTGTACTCGGCTCTCCAGTGGATACAGTTCACCATGGCCATGCTAAGGTAGAACGTGCTGCTACACCCGTGTCCCCAGCACCAGGGACGGCCCTGGCACGGCTAGGCAGGTCGCTGCAGCCTGTAATGCTCCTTCATGCCAGCTCGAGAGAGTTATCGTCATGACGCTGACTTCCTCAGGAATAAGAGATCTTGCTGAGCCCCAAACAACGCAGATGTGCTCCTTTTCCAACCTGTGCTTTGTTTTGTCAGTGTTATAGGTTCCAGTTCGATTATTGCCTACGCCATCTTTCAAAATGCCGTGCGGTCCCCCGAGGTAAGGACTGTATCTCTGTTTCTCTCTTCAAGTCGGAGTGTTGGTATCCTGCAAGTGGATAGCGTGTGTAGCAAAGACCCGTGTGGGCCAGGCGTTCTGCTGGGAGTGATTACAGGTCTCGGGCTTATGTGGTTAAACCGTGTTTATTGCAGCTGGGAGGCAAAGGGCTTTCCAGGATTTGGGCTCTTCCTCTGCAACATGGGGTTTAAGAGACTAACCCTGAGCTATGCCACGTGGGGAGAAGCAGGTTCCTCAGCACCATGCTTTCCGCAGCTCCAGGAAAGCCTTTCAGGCTTTCAGACACCATATCTGGGAATGGGGATTTGTTAGAATGACCTTCTTTGTGGGGCAAAAAGCATAGAGGGCTGAGGACCTGTGTGCAGAGAGCCGCTGAAGTGTAAATTCATGCATGTATAGGTCTTGCATTTGTAGGAAATGCATGTATAGGTCTTTGTCTTTGGGTATTTCTGAGTAGTTTTTACACGCAGGTGTGCTACTAAAGCTAGCATAACTCAAAGGTGCTGCAAAGTCCATACAAAAATAGAACAGGCTGAAAAGTAATTTGTTGTGCTGATGCAGTGAAGCATGTCCTGGCTTTGAAAACTTTGTCCTGGCCATGCACAGGAAGCATTAACATTTCTAATGCTAAAGCAGTGGCACTCAGGTACGAACCACACTCCGGTGCAAACCGCACTCGGAATGGGCCTGTCCACCCGTGCGCTGCTGATCTGGCATGCGTGCAGTGCCTGGCGTGTTCAGAGTTCACCACGCATGCACAGATCGTGTGTGCAAGGAATCTCACGTGTCTGGGAGGTATCAGAACTACTACACGTGCTGAGCAGCTGGCTGGCGTGTTCACAGTAATCATGGACCTCCATCCAAAGCCTGCCAGGCTTGCTGTGCAGGCACGCTCCAGCTGTCAGCCCAGGATGCATTAGAGGAAACGCGCGTGCACAGGTCTGTGTGAAGTCCTGCTTCTTCATCCAGGGCTTGCAGACCTCTGGCAGCCCAGTGTGTGGACCATATACATAACAAGTTACTGCTAAGAGCAGGACAGTACAGTTGGCAGATCTGTCATTGTAGAGCTGTTTTGTACCTTCCTCGTTTTCAAAGCTCTTCACACACTGTAGGTCTGGTCAGCAACCCAAGGATCAGGACTTTCAAGGAAGTCAGTAAATCACCCTCAGAGAAGGGTGATGTGCAGTCAAGCTAACAATTGACACATCATTGGATGAAGCAGGGTGGGAAGGAGAATATGTATCTGGGTTTGCAGGGCAAATCTGCGCTGCTTACAGTAAGCTGGGCAGTCGGGCTCCCAGGTAGGCAGCCTCATGGAGACAGTCTGCCCAGCACACTGAGGATGAGCTGTGGAGGTCCTGGGAAGGAAGGAAGGCTGGGATTTAGTGGCCTTAGGGCTGGGATGGACAACCTTCCTGAGGCTGTCCTGCACAAGGTGCATATGAAGCCATGAAGCACGTCACCCATACCTAGAGAGCCCCGGATGTGGCTCGTTCTCCCAGGGGGTCCTCCACTGTGGTGAGCAATGGAGCTGTGTTTGACAGGTGCCCCAGTGTGACTCAGCAGCCTTTGTGAGTTTTCTTCCACGGCTAGGAGCGTGCATTACTCAGGAGCCCTTGCGCTATTAGTCATATGATGGGGCCGTGGCCAGGGAGCCGCACTCTAGTGGCTTGCTCAGATTATTATTACAAATCTGCACAGGATGCGATGGATACCAGCTGGACTAGCTAGTCTGCATCAGGCTGCCAGGCTCATGCTTTGCTGCCAGGGGATCCGTTGGTGGTGTTTCAAAAGTGACAAAATAGCCTCCCCTCAGCCTCACTCTCCTGGTCCTGTGGGCAAATTTGTAAACAAAGGGGCTGGGAGAAATCTGTATCGGAGCTTGCTGCAAACAGCTCAGTCCCTGAGTCATGAGACTCCAGAGTAAAAGGCTTAAAAACAAACAACTTTGGAGGCCGAGAGGAGAACAATATTATTGCAACTTCCCGTACTACCCCCAGCCCAGGAAATCAAATATTGAATTCTTGAAACTTATTTTCTGTCTCTGTGGGGTCAATTAGACCTTCAGCATGTACTAAATCATTCAGAAGAGGTGATGGCAAGGAATAAACACAGTGTTTCCTCTGTTGTGGCGACAGGTTTTCTACAGGCAGACATCCCTGAGTAGTGGTCGGACACAGCAAGATGAACATGTGTGCTGCAGGCAGGCAGCTCATCTGAACCATTACGTCTTTACATTCCCTTCCTCTATTTTATAAATACCATTTGTTTTTTCTTTTCCCCCCCCCCTTTTGCAAGTAAGAACCATTCTGCCTTTTACTTACAGACTATGTCATCTACTTCTTTATTTAGGTTTGTGCCAAAATAGCTCCTCAACCAAACAGTGGTGCTTCCCTCCAAAGACACTTGTCACTAGAAAAGGGGTCACCTGTTCATTTGCAAAAGTTGCTTCACTGCTTATTTCAGAGCTGCTTAGCTTTAACCTGCCACGTTCACGATCTGGAAGGCATCCTCGGGCTGTGACTGCCTGCCCGTGCTTCAATTCTGCGCCAGCAAGGGGAAGCCTGAATTTATACTCAGTTAAAAGAGGCGTTTGTAAATGCAATGACGTACACACTAGCTCCAGATATTTAGCTAACACCAGCAGTTTGATTTACTGTGTTGCTGGGTTGGATGGTACAAACATGGAACTGGAGAGACGAGACTGTTTGAAGAGACAAATCCTGCCGAAAGCAGAGGGCCAGC